AACTTTGTAATTGAAAAGTTTTTCATTTGAATTCATTTAGGGCCTCAAAAATTGCTTTGAAAAAATGATTTGCCGAGGGCAAAAAAAAATGCACATGGCAAAATGCCTCTTTGCCGAGTGCCAAAACAAAGGCACTCGGCAAAGACGCATTTTGCCGCGTGCCAGAAAAATAGCACTCGGCAAAATACATCTTTGTCGAGTGCCAGAAAAAAACACTCGGCAAAGCCATCTTTGTCGAGTATTTTTTTGCCGAGTGTATTTTCTTTGGCACTCGGCAAAGACCGTCTTTGCCGAGTGCCCGATAAAATACACTCGGCAAAGCCTCCGGCACTCGGCAAAGTGCCGGTTTCCGGTAGTGGTACCCGAGCTAGTAGAGTTAGTGCAAATCTGAGGGTGAATACCACAACGCCATCTTGAGCAAAGGCTTCTTCGTAAGACTATCTCCAACAACAACACCCAAAATATAAGATCCATTCAACATTTGAGTAGCGCTATAGTCAAAGGGTTCAATACCCATTCGACGTCCTCTCCAACAACAGGACCCAAAAGAGAATCCTTTCTGCAAATGGGTTTTTAGGAGAGAGGATACTCATATTTAGGTTGTGTCTCTCAGACAACCCAAAATGGGTCTCCCGTATAGGTACTCTGTTGGAGGCTGATTTTGGGTCTCTTGCTAACCATTTTGGGTTTGGATGCCTATATGGGTCACCTATTGGACACAGTCTAACATATGGATAATGACTAGCACTAGCACCTGCTGGCTGCTGGCCAATAATTAATGTAGGGCCTGTTTAGGCTGTTCTATTCTAATTTAATTTTATATATGCTCTCAAATTCATGGTGGATCGGCAAATCGGCTATGTAGGCCCCGTTCGCTGGTCTGAAACTTGGCTGAAACTGGCTGGTTTTGCGAGAGAGTAACACTGTAGCTGCTGGTTGATGAACAGTGTTCGCTGAGGAGGATCAGCCGGCTACCAGCGAACGCGCCCGTAGTTGGAGCACACAGTATGGGTGTTTGTTTCCCAACTTAGCTCCAATTTTAGAAACGAGAGGTTTTTGTAGGAATTGTCTACTGCACTCTTGACTTTGTTTACAAAAGTTATGTGGTATGGAAATATTATAAAACATATTAGGTTGTAGATAATGAATAGTCATGATGTTATTTCCTAGATTCTTGGAAATTATAAATCTTGAAGGCATAAAATTTCCTAAGAGAACTAAAAGTAGTTAACTTTGAAGAATTTTAGTTCCAAATCCATAAGGGTTTTAATCTGAGTTCAAACTAATTAGAGAAGAAAATCATGGTAACTGTTGCCACTAGAGAAATTAGAGAATAAAATGAAAAAAAACCTATGTTTTCAATATAGAGTTGCACGACTAAAACATGACTTTTGGAGATGCTACCTTTCATTTTAAGAAGTGGTTCAAGAGGGCATCCACTTCTAAAATATCCCAAGGGAGCGAGCTAAAAGCCATGCCATCTCTATAAATTGAATTCTAGAGACATTTGATTTAAGATCACCGTCTTAAGAAATAAGTTAGAGATGGTAGTTTTAAGCAACTAAGTCTAAGATATAATTTTCCGAAGTGTTTCTCTTAAATATTTCCAGAGATATTTCTCTTAAACTGCCCACATCTGATCCAAAAATCAACTTCTAGATACAGTCGGCTTAAGTAGATTGCTTTCAAATCATTTTTAAAGGTGGTTGCTTTCTCGTCTCTAAGAACCACTCATTTGCAAAGGGCCTTTGGCTAGAGAACCATTTCTAAAAAATATAACCTGCCCCTAAAAAGGACTTTGGTAGTAGTTTGTTCAGTTTGCCATGGTGCGGAGTACATTAGACGGGCATGATGAAGGGCGAATGGAGGGGATTTGTACATATTTGAATTAAGAGGAACTAGAGTATCAATCCATGCTCAAACAATGCTGAGAAATTTAAGCATTACATGTTTCGTTTATGATTTCAGTATGTACAACTAATGAAATCAACCATCTTTACTCTCCTTATTCAATTCCTAACACAATATATCTGTTGTCCTCGACCGAAGTCTCAGACGGTTTGCAAGATAAGTTAGGAAATGCCTAGCTATTGGCAAGATAGTTTAGAAAATCAATGAGAGAAAGTGTCAAAGAGAGAGCGCTATGCAAATGGTGCTGGCCCCAACGATATCCATTTAGGTCATCTACAATCTTTATTACCCGATAAAGTTATCAATTACTCTATGTCTTATCATCGTTTGCATTGCACCTTTGTGGGTCTTCGTTATGTACTAAATTAAAAATCAAAGTTTCAGTTATATTTGTTCTTATTGCATCTTTTTGGGGCATTATGAATTTGTATTTTGATTTTTGACTTTTGATCTTATTAGTTGTACCAATTCTTTATCTGTGTGATAAGTTTAAATTCTAGTGCTTATTATATCTTTATTCAAAAAAATTCTTTTATATTTTATTAAAAACTAGATTTTAGGTCTAGGCTACACTCTTAGTTATTTTACAATGGCATAAACAGTCATTTTAGCCTACACATGGAACACAAGATGTTGAATTTAGTTATTATATTGAAGAATTATCATGCAGTGGTATTGTTTATAGAAACATAGGGAGTTTTAAATTAAATTAGCAGTATAGATATATCATGAAGCTTTAGTTAAAGTGTATAAACCCATGAAAAAGAAAAACTTACAAAAATTATTGTCAATCAGTAATAATATAATTTAAAGTGGAAGTATCAGTGTCACATGGTTTGTTAAGGGAACATTTTCTCCATGATTGATATACCATCCAAAGAAATACTATCTTAATATATGCATATTTTGTTGGTCCAGATATAGTGGCACATAGCATTTATGCTTAGTTTTAATTTAAAAGTGAAAGGAGGTGTAATTCAGAAACATATATAACATACTCTATGGTTATTGAATTATTTTCCATAATATCTTATATGCTACTTAGACATAGATTTGAAGGATTATTTTATTTCTTATATTGCCAAATGTGGACAATTTAGTTGCAAATTAAACGGGTTAGTTTATTATATTTCATAATGATAAATGCAGGTAATTTAAATGTAAAACAATGGCTTAATTACTGCAATATCTTTCATAATGGTATATTTGGTTGTTTAGGTGCAAACTTAGGGGGTATCTTGCATAATGGCAAAGGTGGGTAATTTAGATTCAAATTTAGAGTGTTATTGTGTGTGTTGTTATAATGACAAAGATGAGTTATTATCTTAAAAACGGAATAGATATGGTTTTAAATAATGGGGTAAGGCATTTAGCAATAGCCTCCTCCAGAAGCTATAAACATGGTATTTACCAATAGTTGTTTTTGTGCAAAGTTGGTTAAGAATTTCCATGTTTTCTATAACAGGGTAAGGTTTTAAATAATGGCTAGTAATTAGTGGTTGATGCGTGGGACTTCGGTGGTTAACACTCAAGACACTAGAAGGTTTATCCCAGTTCAAGCTTCAAAGCCCTATGTCCAATAGAGAATTCTTCATATTAGAATGCTCAAAATGACTTCTTACAACAAGAGAGAGAAGGAGACCATATGGCTAGTTCTGATCTAGGGTTTCGGAATGAGGTCAACCCCCCTCTAAAATTCTCTTGCCCGTCCTTATATCTCCGAATGTCAAGGGGCATACAAACTTTGGGTTTTTCCCTAGTTTCCTTGGTATCCAAGGAAACGCTAAGGCTTCTTCGACTCCAGGCATGGTCGTGGACGACAATGTGGAAACTATTGGTGGTAGCTTTTGTTGATGGAGATGGCAGGTCATGGCAGACTAGGAGCTCATCGTTCCGCCCGTCCCATGTTCACCCACCCTCTAGTGTCCTTTGCACGCCAAGGGAGGAGAGGCCTGGAGGGCTGACGCATGGGTCTGGTGCATCCCTTGTCGTGTTGCGTCATGCCCCGAGTGTGACTCCTCACCAAAATAGGCAGGCAACTCCACGCTAAGGTGGGGAGAACAACAACCTGATAGAGATAGTTACACCGTGTCTCTGTTCAGGTGTCAGACGGGCATCTACCTAGGCCAACCCGCTGAGTCCCGTTCAGTCGGGCAAGACCCTCGGGCGATGAGGGCCTAGGCTGTCTTGGGCTTTAGTCCCATTCTCGAGCTAACTTCGCTTGGCCAGAGGCCTCGAGCGAGGGAGGCTCATGCCTCGTGGGTTTTGGTCGGTGTGAGGGCGCGCAAGCGCACTGCTGGGTGTAGCCCCGAGCCCCTGACCGATTAAGACAATAGGTTAGGAGGTTAATTACACTTTTTATAGTGCTAATGAAGGGGTTGACATAACCCCGATGTTAGATATTCATCAAGATGACTTATACGTTGATAGATTAAAGATTAAAAGTATTGTACGTAATAGAGATGATGTAGACAATTTTTGTAATCAATAAAAGATGACATGAATAGCTTGTATAAAAGGATAATAAGTTGGTGGAACATTTACTGGGGAATGATGTGGACACCTTGCATGAAGGGATAGAACATCTAGTGAGTACTAGCTTTATTAGATTATATAGGTATAGATATAGATTATTAAGATTCAAGACGTGTATCCAAGTGGTAATGGTGGGTAATTATTGACCAATTCCAAGAGGATGTTGAGACATGTGATTTGTTGAGCACATGTTTGTATGCTCCATCAAAATGAACTAGGCGGAGGCTTTTTGCTCTGTATGGGGATGGTTACTCTAGAAAATAAGAATAATTATCCTAGAAATTTTAGCATTTATTTTATTTTTTTTCTCCATTGCCCTCCCTTAACAATGCTCTCACTCTCACAAAATGAATGTGTTCTTTAGTGTAGTAGAAATGGAGAAGAGAATAAGATCATTTCGGCTACTGTGTTGTTTTAATCCTTGTGCAGGGATCTAAAAGCATCCTACATTTTCAATTGTCTTCTGTAGAGGCCTAGACCACATTCGCAATATATAACAAAGAGATATATACTTAACTGCCATGTGCGGCATGTCCAGCTACCTCGCCGGCCGTATGAGCAAGGAGGGTTCGCCACAGATGGCGAAGGCAGCGCCGGTTCTGAGCTCATTCGCGTCGCTGTTCATGCACGCAGACACGGTGGACGTGGCGCTGATGGCGCTGGGCCTGGTGGGCGCCATCGGCGACGGCATGTCGATGCCGGTGATGCTAACTATCATGAGCCACGTCTACAACGATATATGCAGGCAGCGGCCCTGATCGCCTCCAGCAGTTCAGCTCCAAGATGAATCAGGTACACAGCAGATTCCATCTCTAACTTGAACCTGATGATCTACATATGCATCAGGTCTATACGTACGTACGCAAATGTTACATTAACAACAACACTGACGCGTCCACCGGGTTCTGTACCAGAACGTGAGGAATACCCTCTTCCTGGCTGCCGCATGCTTTGTCATGGCGTTCCTAGGTGAGAGCACACTGCATGCCAATGCCCCGGCCGGCGCCTCTCTGACACCACCGTGGATTTTTTCCCCCCGTTCGAGTAGAGGGGTACTGCTGGACGCGGACGGCGGAGCGCCAGGCGTCGCGGATGCAGCTACGTTACCTGCGGGCGGTGGTCCGGCAGGACGTGGAGTACTTCGACCTCAAGGCGGGATCCACGTCGTCGGAGGTGATCACCAGCGTCTCCAACGACAGCCTCGTCGTGCTGGACGTGCTGAGCGAGAAGCTGCCCAACTTCGTGGTGAGCGTCACCACGTTCGTGGCCAGCTACACCGTCGGGTTCGCGCTGCAGTGGCGGCTCACGCTGGTGGCGCTGCCGTCCGTGCTGCTGCTCGTCATCCCCGGCTTGCTCTACAGCCGAGTCCAGATCGGCCTGGCGCACTAGATCAGGGAGCAGTACAGGCGCCCGGGCGCCATCGCCGAGCAGGCGATCTCGTCGGTGCGCACCGTGTACTCGTTCGTCGCGGACAGGAGCACCACGGCGCGGTTCTCGGCCGCGCTGGAGGAGCTGGTACGGCTTGGGCTCAAGCAGGGGCTCGCCAAGGGCGTCGCCGTCGGCAGCAATGGCATCACCTACGCCATCTTCGCCTTCAACATTTGGTACGGCAGCCGGCTTGTCATGCACCACGGCTACAGGGGCGGCACCGTCTACATCGTCGCCGTCGTCATTGTACACGGAGGCGTGTATGTAACAGTACTACTAGCTAATTAACTGCAACTGTGTCTGTGCGTGATTCACCGTAAATTCTGTTCGATAAAACACCATTAACGAACGAATTGAACCGTGCAGAGCGCTGGGGTCGGCGCTGTCGAACATCAAGTACTTGTCGGAGGCAAGCGCGGCGGCGGAGAGGATCACGGAGCTGATCAGGCGAGTGCCCAAGATAGACTCGGAGAGTGCCACCGGCGACGTGCTGGACAACGTCACCGGCGAGGTGGAGTTCAGGAACGTGGAGTTCTGCTACCCGTCGCGACCCAAGAGCCCAATCTTCGTCAACTTCAGCCTGCACGTGCCGGCCGGGTGCTCGGTGGCGCTGGTGGGCGCCAGTGGGTCAGGCAAGTCGACGGTGATCGCGCTCCTGGAGCGCTTCTACGACCCGTCGGCCGGAGAGGTGACCCTGGACGGCGTCGATATCCGGCGGCTGCGGCTAAGTGGCTGCGCGCGCAGATGGGGCTTGTCAGCCAGGAGCCGGCGCTGTTCGCGACGTCGATCAGGGAGAACATACTGTTAGGCAAGGAGGACGCCACGGAGGAGGAGATCATAGCTGCGGCGATGGCGGCCGACGCCCACAGCTTCATCTCGCAGTTGCCGCAGGGCTACGACACGCAGGTACGTACGTAGCATCTTCTCCTTGCACTAGCACTTTCTGAAAACAGTCATATGTGGCTGAAAATGTAACTAGCATAACGGTGGCTTAGGCCCGGTTTGGTTTCAATATCAGATAAAAGTTAGCTGGCTAATAACTCATTATTTGATTTGGTCTAGTTAGTGAGATAGTTGTTACCTAAATGTCTAGCTAACAATTAGCTAATCTATTATCTATACATGTTTAGATTCAAAAGAGATAATTATTAGTAGATAACTACTATCTATAGGGATCGTATGCACCCTCTCATTATATCTTGCACTCAAATCAATGTCTTCCTTTTTAGTGGAGCTTCTCCGTCAGCTTCACAAATAACTTCACTTCACTGGCTCCCCAACCAAACACTAGATTAAATTTAAAACAGCTTCCATAGAGAAGCTCCGTGGTTGGAGCTGCATGCGAGAGGAGCTGGAAAAAAAAGAAGCTTTGCCAGCTCCCTCTCGTTGTTGTGGGCCCTGTGCATAGCGGTGACTAGATTTGCTCGAGGGCGCTGGGAGGGGCGGCTGGCAATCGCGAGGGAGGGGTGTGGAGGCCGGAGTAGGGAGGGACAGAGACTGGTGTAGGAAGGCCCCTCGGGCTGGTGCGGGGAGGGAAGGAGGCCGGCATGAATAAGGTGGAGACAGAAGAGAAATAAGTAAGGGAAAATTAGAACAAAGAACGAATAAAGAAGATAGAAGGTTGTTATAGATATTGTTAACAACCACAAGAAGTTGTTATGTCAAAAAGAGTTGTATCAGAGAAGCTACTGTTGGAGGTATTTTTGGCTAGAGCCAAATCTCTACCAAACGATCCCTTAACTTGTGTCTATTATTGCTAGAAATAGTCATTACTCCACTATGAACGACCTCCACCCTACATTCTACTTTATTCTTGATATGGAGGGCGTAAGCCTAATACAAGTAGTAACCACTTGTCTACATGGATGCTAGTAATAATATAGATTTATTTGCTTATCTGTTCTATTGTATCTTTGTTAGCCATCCACTTTAGATGTGTAGTCTCGGCTAAAAGTGAATCATCCCTCTTCGTTATTGTAGATTGCATCAAACTGATAACTACCCATCAGGAGAATAAGTTGTGTTGCCTATTTTTGTTAAGATGCTTTATATTTTTTTCTATGTATGAATAAATTGGCCATTATCTCTTGTGGAATGTTATTTTGTGATTTTTTTTCTATGCTTATTTGAATATATTGGCCTTTGAAATAATGTCCTTTTTCAATTACATTTGACATCAAAAGATAATTTGAATTTCAACTTTGAATAACCTTTTATTCCGAGGCAAAGATTCCATCAATTGGCCAACCTCAAGAAATTGTTTTTTCTATGTTTTATCTTTTAAACTGTTATATTGAACTATGTTTTATTTTCTAGTGTATTTGACATAAAAAAGTTTTTGAATGGCAACAATAAATCTTTTTAGGTCAACTTTAAACTCTTAATGCATTAGTGCAATGAAGATAGTTGGCTTAGTATTCCTTATTAATTGAATTTGTAGGTAATCGAGAAATATGTAATAACATATTTTTAGATTAACTTTTATGTCGTGGCACTTGGGGTACATTATTAATGCCCTGTGTAGGTTATAAAGAAGGTTAAAATGGTATTTCTAAATTAGTTTTAAGTAATGGCAGTGGTGACCAAACAATATGTCAATGGAAAAATGATCAAACATGTCAAATTTGCATATGCATAACACAAAAGGTTTAGATAAATTCTTCTAGCCAAGGTATGTGCTGATCATTTTTTAACAGCCATTAATCATGCAATGTACATAGCAACTGTAACAGAAGTTTTTGAAATGATATTAAGAGAGCATATATACAAACAAAAGTTTGCTGACAAGATTAACTTGCAGCAAACATACATACAAGATTAACTTGCAACAAACATACATATCAACTTTGCTGAAGAAATTAAAGTTCCACTATTCCTCTATACTCTTGCCACAGCAGTCTGGGCTATCATTTTTGTTTCAAGAAACTACAAATGGATAAAAGTGTTAGATTTTCATGAAACAAGTTCATTCTAATTTGTTTATATCTGTCCAAATCAAAGACCATTGAACTAGACTTGTTATGTGGAATATAAGTTGTTGTTCTTACTTGGATACAAACCATATATAGACCAAAAACAGGTGGGTGAGCGTGGTATCCAAATATCTGGAGGACAGAAGCAAAGGATTGCTATTGCCAGAGCAATCCTAAAATCACCTAAGATCCTTCTTCTTGATGAAGCCACTAGTGCACTAGACACGAATTCAGAACGTGTCGTGCATGAGGCGCTTGAGTTAGCCTCCATGGGACAAACTACTATTGTTGTCGTACATCGTCTCAACACTGTCCGAAATGTCGATATAATTGTTGTCATGCAGAATGGTGAGGTTAAGGAGATGGGATCACATGATGATCTCATTACCAATGAGAATGGCCTCTATTCATCTCTTGTCCACCTTCAGCAGACCAGAGATTTAACAGACACCAACAAGGTTGGCGGAATTGCAAGCCAAAGTATGAGCAGAGATTTCTCTACAGCTAGTAGGACAAGCTCAACATGGTCAATTTGTGATACAAAACATGATGATAACAAAGATAATTCAAGCCTTCCTGTTCCATCCTTTATGACAATACTTATGCTTAATGCACCAGAGTGGAAGCAGGCGTTGATAGGAAGCTTCAATGCAATTGTGTTTGGAGGCATACAACCAATATTTGCATATTCCATTGAAGCATGATATTTGTCTACTTCTCAACAAATCATGAAGAGATCAAGGAGAAAACAAGGACTTTTGCACTTATTTCCATCAGCCTTGCAATTCTTTCATTCTTAACTAGTATTGGGCAACATTATAACTTTGCTGCCATGGGGGAATTCCTAACAAAGAGGGTCAGAGAACAAATGCTTGCAAAATTTCTCACTTTCGAGATTGGGTGGTTTGACCATGATAAGAATTCTAGTGGTTCCATATGCTCACAACTTACTAGAGACTCCAACATTGTAAGTACAAATAAATCTTGTAAATATTTAGAAAATGATATTACTGACCAGATATAATATTTGTATTGTAGGTGAGGTCACTCCTGGGTGATCGAATGTCTCTAGTCATCCAGACAGTTTCTGCAGTTGTAACTGCCTACATTATGGGTCTGGTTATAGCTTGGCGTATGGCCCTCGTCATGATAGCATTACAACCCATTAGCATTGTTTGCTTTTATGCCCGCCATGTTTTACTGAAGAGCATGTCCAAGAAATCAATGCAGGCACAAGATAAATGTAGTAAGCTAGCTGCTGAGGCTGTCTCTAATCTTCGGACCATAACTGCTTTTCTCATCCCAGAACCATGTCTTGTGCCTCTTTGACCAAGCACAAGATGGTCCACACAAGGAAAGCATCCGACAGTCCTGGTTTGCAGGCATCATCCTTGGCACCTCCATGGGCCTTTTGAAATGCACGTGGGCACTCACCTTGTGGTATAGTGGCATGCTCATGGCTGGGCACCATATTACAGCAAAGGCCTTCTTCCAAACCTTCTTGATTTTATTAACCACAGGACGTGTGATTGCAGAAGCAGGTAGTGTTACAACAGATCTTGCTAAGGGTGCTGATGCAATTGCTTCAGTGTTTGCCATTCTTCACTGAGAAACAAAAATGGATCCTGACAGCCCTGAGGGATATAAACCAGAGAAGCTCAAAGGTGAGGTGCACATTAGAGGAGTTGATTTTGCATATCCATCAAGACCGGATGTGATCATCTTCAAAGGATTCTCCTTGAGCATCCAACCAGGCAAGTCAACGGCACTTGTTGGGCAAAGTGGTTCTGGAAAGTCAACTATCATTGGACTTATAGAGAGGTTCTATGACCCAACTAGCGGGGTAGTAGAGATTGACCTTAATAAAGACATCAAAACATACAATCTTCGTGCCTTGCGACAACATATTGGACTGGTCAGCCAAGAGCCAACACTATTTGCAGGTACCATTAGAGAGAACATTGTGTATGGCACAGAAGCAGCTAGTGAGGAAGAAATTGAGAATGCGGCAAGGTCAGCAAATGCACATGACTTCATTAGCAACCTCAAGGATGGATACGAGACAAGGTGTGGTGAGCAAGGTGTTCAACTGTCAGGAGGGCAGAAGCAGCGCATTGCAATCTTCCGTGCAATATTGAAGAACCCTGCTATCTTGCTCTTAGATGAAGCTACTAGTGCATTAGACAACCAGTCTGAGAAGGTGGTCCAAGAGGCATTGGACCGAATGTTGGTCGGAAGGACAAGTGTAGTGGTGGCACACAAGTTGAGCACTATTCGGAACTGCGACCTGATTATTGTGCTTGATAAAGGAGTTGCTGTGGAGACAGGCACACATGCATCCCTCATGGCCATGGGTCCTGCTGGAACATATTTTGGATTAGTTAATATGCAGCAAGGAAGCAATGTAACACCCTAAAAATCGCTACTTTCGAAATAAATATAAATTGATTTAATTTTGTATTTTTGTGCTCATGAAAACAAAGGAAAATAAATTTTTTTATTAAATAAAATTCATCATAAGGTTTAGCAATATTGTTGTGCATACATGCTGGTGCATTTTATTTTTGTGATGAGTGGTTTTGATCAAAATTCAAAATGATTTAAACTGTTTTTGAAAATGCTTTGAATAAAAGAAAAACAAAATAAAATGGAAAACCTCCCTCCCTCCTCCTTCTTCCTCACATAACCGAGACGGACTCACATCCCAGGAAACGCC